CTTTCTGCACTTTTCTCAAACATGGCAACCCACCCCCCCCCCCCCCACCCCCACACACAAACAAGTCTAATCATACATCAGCTGGTGGTAAAAGGATGTACGTGCACCCACATCACACAGCTTTCTGCACTTATCTCAAACATGGCAACCCCCCCCCCCCCCCCACACACAAACAAGTCTAATCATACATCAGCTGATGGTAGAGGATGTATGTGCATCAACATCACACAGCTCTCTGCACTCTTCTCAAACATTGCAACCCACCCTCCCCCCCCCCCAAAAAAAAAAAAAACAAGTGTAATCATACATCAGCTGGTGGTAAAAGGGTGAACGTGCACCAACATCACACAGCTCTCTGCACTCTTCTCAAACATGACAACCCCACCCCCCCCCCCCCCCCACACACACAGATGTAATCATATATCAGCTGGTGGTAAAAGGGTGTACTTGCACCCACATCACACAGCTCTCTGCACTCTTCTCGAACATGACAACTCCCCCCCCCCCCCCCCACACACACACACACAATTTGATCTCCACTTGCCATCCAATTAAATTACATCTAAAACATTTTTAATGTATTTCTTTTACCCAAGCCATGCAAGAGTCGTACAGCTAGAAACGATAATTAAAAAATGTCCCAGTCTGAATATCAAATAAGAAACGTTGTACAGTTATATGTATGAACAGCTAAATGCATGTTTCAGCATCTTTTCCGATGAAAACTTGATAAAGAATCAGGGTCACATTCTTGAGTGAACGTTATATCGTAAGACAATCCCATCACTGGGCGGGGCTTATCGTGAGCCCGCACTGTTGATTGGCCAGCTGTCATGCTCCTTTTTTTCATACAACACTTCAATTTTTTGCATTAAATTTCCTGTAGTATGAACAGGCTTTTAGGGCCAGGCGGTTAAATACATCATGTATGAACAATGCCTGAAGAGTACTTCTCATGTTAGTACAGGTATATAAAAGTTGAAGGCCCCTGCATCTGAGGATTTATACGAAGCATGAAATAACTCACCGGACCATAAATCCACTCATTCAATTAACTAAAGATGCAGGCAAACTGAGATTGGTACTGCACACTCTCCATGCTAGTTTTATGTAAACTTGTACTGGTCTTAATGACGGTCTTCCCCATCCCTTTTATCAAGTCAATGTATACATTCAAACAAATGGAGCTGAGGCTACATGTACTGGAATAGCATTTCATTCTTACTTTCATTCTTCTTTCTTCATCCAAATCAAGGCAACAGTATTATCTTCTCAGCTGGGAACAAGAAGGGCATTATCTCAATGTAAAGTGACATGTGTATTTAACTAAAATGTTTGTTGAAAATTCTCCAAAATATGGCACAGATTGCATGTGAGAGCATATGAATCCTAAAGCCCTAAAAGTATTAAAGCCCTAAAAGTATTAAAGCCCTGGACCACTTCAAGAAGAGACTTTGTGCTTTGCACACATCAGTCCTTCCAAATTTCAGAATTTACATATTTTACAATTTTCTGTTTGTGGCCCATCTTGGTCTTTCAATACAAAATATTATATTTCTCATATGAAAGGGGGGGGTAGGGGCATCATAAATCATCTATGCCGTTATCAAGTGAGGAAAGAAAACACCTGGCTTTGGGCTCAGTTCCATCCTCTCCTCTCTAATCAAATTGAGGAACATCAAAGCCATAATTTGTAACATGTTTCAGCATGAGTTTCCCCTTTCAGATAGAGGCTATGCATGATCTGATCATGTTGCTCTGTACGTGTTCACATGTTCATCATGACAAGTATTTCAAGGATTCACGGCAGCGGTACTTATCTGATCGACTACCACAAAAATGAATGAAGGACGGTGTGATTTTCAGGGTTTTCAGTCTCATTTCTGATTCTTCAACCCCTACCTTAAAAACAAATGTATTTAATGGGGAGAGGGGCAGAAACATGGATTTTGCTTCAGACTCGTGCAGTTTCAGTCACCTAACCTCAACATCCATATAGTGATATAAGCTTTTACTCCAGTATATCTGCAACACAGTATGAATTTTTTTTTTTTTTGTTTTTTTTTTTGGGGGGGGGGGGGAGGGAGGGCGTGATCGTTTAATTTCGTCTAGCGTCAGTCCTACATTTCATCCTAAATACCAACATATAATCTAATACCTGCATGATGCAGGGAGATATCTGCTTAAGATCTGTTAAGGTTTTCGCTCCTCAACATCAATAAGATGGTGAAGAGCATTCACCCCTGTCAGATGCAATTACCCTATGATTTGTGGGGCAGGGAGTGATGGGGTAATCATTTTTTTTAGTCTAGCGTCAGTCCTACATTATATCCTGAATTACCAATTCATAATCTGATACCCGATGCAGCAGATATTTGCTTGAGATCTGTTCATTCCTGTCAAGCTGCAATGCCTAGGATCCTAAACACACACATGCATGTCAATGTGCTTGAATATTTGTTGTTGTTTTAGTATCGAAAATTTTAAATAATTAATCTCCAGTAGCTTATCCTCAACATGAAAGTGCATGCCTATGTGAAGACGGAGGGGAGGGGAGGGGAGGGGAGGGGAGGGGAGGGGAGGGGAGGGGAGGGGAGGGGAGGGGAGAGGAGGGAGGGAGCTGAAGGGGTGGGGAGGTGGGGGGGGCTTTCACTTCACTCTCCATATACATGTACCTCTAGCCTCCCTGCCTTAAACATTAATGTTATCTAGACTCAGTGGGATGCTCCTTCTTTGTCTGGTATCCCAAACTAGGCCCCATATTAGTATGTGCACTTCAGTCATGCCAAGCAAGCCGGCCGGTCTATCCAGGGCAGAGCATTCATGTATCGTGGTGTGACCTCTACCCATTTCCGTCTTGCTCAATAATTTCATTCCACCATGCTTCATGAGAGGGAGGCAATCGATTCTTTATCACTACAAGTGGCTCACATGTGATCCGTGCAATAGACGGTCCTTCTAACAACTTTTATTCACTTGAGCAAAATATATTGCATCCAACGAAATGTGGATGTTCATTGTAGTACATACAATGCACAGGTATGTGTACAAGAATCAGGTGAAATTGCACTTTAAGGTATAGCTAAATCATTTCAAGGTTACCACCTTCAAACCTAACCCTAACCACAACCCCAACCCCAATACTAACCCTTATCTAAAACCAAACCTTAGACCTAACTCTAAACCTTCAGAAATGAACTATAATTGAACTTTCATGTACATGTAACACCTTAAAATAACTTGAGACCCCATTCTGCATTATAACCCCAAAATTAGGAGAAGTACATCTTATCAGACATATATTTTTAAACTGTACATTCAGGCTACATATGACAGAATAGAGTAAGGCATCTGTCCTCTGCTATTAAAGAGACATCTAAATCAACTGTAGGTCTATACTTTGCTGGAAATGACCAATGCTGTATTGTTGAGAGTGTAATATACATGTACATGTACACAGAAAAAGAACACGCAAAAATGAATGCATGTGTATGCAAGCACCCACCGCCTCAACAATAATTTCATTACTTTGTACATTCCCATCTTTGCCAAGGATGAACTACAGTCAACATCACCTTGAACCCTGCAATATAGGTACGGGGGGGGGGGGGGGGGGGGGGGGGGGGAGGGGCACAGGTTGGTAAATCTACATACGACCTGACCTTGACGAGGGTCGTCCTACCAAATGGAAAGAGAGGCATTGTGGGAAGGCGAGCATCGGAGCTGATTATTATGTCTGGGGGCAGTGTTCCACTGCGTTGGGCGACAATTGAACGGAGGTGACTGAGGTGAATGCTGGGTTGACTAGAGAGACTGGTGATTGTTTATTCGGTTGGTGGCAGTCTGATCCACATAGAGATGGATTTCTTACCCAATAAAGATATTCAAATTTGTAGAACAATGGAAATGCAATATGAGGACATTAAGACCATTAATATAAATTAACACGTTATATCAGGGTAAAAATAATAAACCGTATATGAAGAGCTGGGACCAGCAAAGTACCTCATCAGGTACACTATATCTTGTTACATATCAGGGCTCTTACAACAGAATTCTACTGGAACCTGCCTTCTGGGTCAAGGATTATTTATGAAGTATCTGTAAGGATCTGTAAGAATACTCAATAATTAAAGTACCATTTCATTAAATCTCTTAGAATCTAGGGTAGTAATAAATATAGAGATCTAAAAGTAAAATGTCTGTTTTAATGGGAGTTGCAGGATTTATAAAACCACATTTGTAAGTGCCAAGGGAACCTGAAAAACTGTTGTTAAAAAGATGAAAACAATGTCATAACATATCATTCTAAGACAGGAGTACCTATCCACTAAGGCTGTGCACAACAGTGTTATGAGGTATCTGAGTACACTCCCAGGCTCACAAGCGAATACTCGAATATTCAGACGCCATGTTTTATTATAATTTTTTTGAATTTATTTGAATTTTTTGATTTTTTTTTAATTTTTTGATTTTTTGATTTTTTTGATTTTTTTTTTTTTTTTTTTTTTTTGCCACTACCATACCACTCGGCAGTTTCCCAGGTCCCTCGCCGAAAACGCATGCAATTTTACTTTGAGTTGCAGTTGAAGGCGCCGATTTAATAAGAATAATAACAGTAAACAATGCTGTTTTAAAAACCAAAGATGGCAGAATAATCCATTTTCATCCTAGTCCAAACAGAAATCTGGACATTTGGTCCCAGTTTCTGAAAGGTGAGTTTGACAGTGCTTGAGTTGGGAAACATTTTAACCGACGGTACCATGCCAGCGGTCGGCGCTCTCCCTGGCATGGGTAAGCGTGGGCCTGGACATTTTTTTTTTTTTATTTATTTTTTTTTGTGGCCGAAAAAGAGTAGTTGTCAACCGTGCGGGTACTCGAGCATTCGACTACCCGTCGCAGCCTTACTATCCACATGTAACTTCTAAGACCTCCTTCGGCACTCAGTATAGACAGGGTAACTTATAAAGGCCACCTTACAGGGCTGCAATCGGGTCTAATTTTTTTTTTTGGGGGGGGGGGAGCTGCGCCATGGCTGCTTTTGTAATTAATAGCAGCCTAATAGAGCTGACAAAATCTCATGAATGTACAGTAACAATGTACATGATTTGCTTTCTACTTTACCTCAAACTCCGGTGATGATTTGATAATGAGTGCTTGTCTGCAATCTGGGGATCTGTAAATGAAATAAAAAGGAGATGAAAATTAATTCAAACAACCATCAAAACATAAGAAGAGTTAAATTACTTTAATGTCTTACATACATGCAGGCATAACATGCTACAAGTATGTAGGTAAAGTAAAGGTCACCAAACATGCATGAGAAGGTTAAGAATATTCATAAACTGTAATTGATTTTGTTGATTAATTAAATAAACATAAATTAATTTTTCTTGATAGATTTACTGATACATGTATATCAATCTAAATTTATAGTAAGGTTATTTACGCATGTATCCTCATTTGTCTTCTTCATACCAGAAGAAAGAAGAACATTTATTTCGCGTACATGTTCACATATAATCAACACATTGCTACAATAACGCATGTACATGTAGTTGGTACCTCTAATGTGTAAATTGTTCTTGTGTATGCGAAGGAAGATTGTGTGGTCTACAGTTAGATTCAAGAGCACATTCACACCCATGTACTCAAGGCTGTACCGAAGATGTTCGCCTAAAAGCATTCATGCATTTCACTTGTCAAGTCATCTCCCTTCTCCATCCATCCCTTTCTCATATCCCTTTTCTCTATCTCTCTCTCTCTCTCTCTCTCTGTCTCTCTCTCTCTCCTTCTTTCTGTCTCTCTCTCTCCTTCTTTCTGTCTCTCTCTTCGTCTCTCTGTCTCTCTCTCCTTCTTTCTCTCTCTCTCTCTCTCTCTCTCTCTCTACACAAATAGTACAATGTATGTCTGTCTTTGTGTCTCTGTCTGTATATACATGCACACTGTACATACATGTACATGTACGTCAGATTTTTCTGTCCATGTCTATATCTCTCACTACGATCTCTCAGTCATGTCTCTGTCACAATCTCTCATTTCTCTCTCACATTTTTTGTCTCTGTCACTATCTCTCATTTCCCTATCTCATTTTCTATCTCTCACCTCTATCTCTATCTCATATTCTCCCCTTCCCTCTCTCTCTCTCTCTCCCTCTCTCTCTCTCTCTCTGTTCCTGTCTCCCATTTCTCCATCTCTCTCTCCAGCTGCTTAACTAGAAGCGAGGGGTACATGTACAAGGGGTACATGTACAGTACGTGCTAAGTAAGGTGCGCTCTTCTGCCCAGGTCTCTTGACTTCAGGAATGAGCCCACTGCTGCTTTCTATTGACAATCTCCAGCATCACATCCCAGTCACACCGGCAAGACCGACACCAGGCCGAAAACAGAACACATACAGTAATTATATTACCCTGAACGGCCAATAATTGGTCGGTTTGGAGTCAATGTGGAGTTGGTTTGGCAGTGTGACTGAGGTAGATGCCGGTACTATTCGCCTTCTCACTCTCTACCACAAGGAAATACAATTTCCTGGCCACCTTTGGTCACACCTGCGAGATGCAATTGATCCCTTCTACGCCTCTCCCTTGGCTCTGGTTTACATTTGGAATCAGAGTTTACTCGCTTGCCTTACTCTTGTGTGTATTTGGGTTGTGTATGAACAGACAGTTCAGAAAACAAAGGCACATTAATACAATGTACATGCTTCATGTTTCAAACTATTTAAAGTAAAGAAGTTCCTGCATAAATGACCTTTACAAAATTGCAATTTTGCTGAAAACCTCTTGTCGTCATTGAAATAGTAAAAGAAACACAAATTTAAGAGAAACAAAAACCATCTGCTTAACAATTTAAAAGGGTTCCTGTCACAATTTTGTTTTAACAAAGTAGATGTCAAAATTTCTTTATATTATGTATGCAATCATAAATGTACAGTACATGCCTGTTAAATTCAGCTTTAAAACTGAATAATTTATGATTTTCTCAGAATCAAAAGCCCTGACTTACAAGTACATGAACATGTATCTACAAAGAAGAATAACGTAGGTTGATTCAAAGATAGGATTGAGCAGTTTGATGAACATTTGAAGAGAAAAATCAGGAGAAAAATCTATAGAAAGCGACAACAATTTATCTGCAATGCTAACAAGACCCTGCACATACATTGTACAGATACAAATATGCAGGCAAACATGTTTTTGTAACTTGCTGACAATTTTTCAGCCAACCCGTTGGAGGCTTGGCTGGCTGGCTGGCGAGCATTGTGACACAGGTCCCGACAGACCCTGCCTGCGGCTACCATTATAGGTGACACGCATCATGCAGGATGAAATATTCGATATGATAAAATTAATTGAAGTGAGAGAAAAAGTGGAAGCATAAGAAATTGTATATGTTCAGGTGTTTTTAAGACAGGAGAAGTGACTGATTTAACTCTGAGGTTTAAAGAAAAAAGCTACACAAAAACAATGAAAACTGACAGATGAGAGATCAAAAGGAGCTTGTGTGTTCAAAGAAAACAAGATAATACATACGAGTGTAAAACCATTTTACTGCAATTTTACCATTACATTTTAGTTACTGCAGATATTTTGCTTCTTAAAATAACATATAGAGCTCCTATAAGTCAATGGTCCATTTTGTTTACACTGATTATCAAAATTGAACATCAAATTCAGTGTACTTGCAGGCCTACATATACATTAATTTTTCAGATAATTATATTGTACGTACAGTATACTGTAGTCTCATTATTCAATTATCAAAGAAACAGTATGGCCTATGCTCATTACAATCCTTCCGATGTCAAACTAAAATGTCAATTTATTTTCTGCTTCATAGACATTTACCATCTACTAATTTGGAACATCAAATGTCATGATGTTCCTCCCTACTGGATATGTCACTTTATTTCCATCTCTCTCCCAGACGTAATGACAAGGCTACTCTACACAATAATGTACATGTACATGTACATGCAGGCCTATTAAATGTACATGTACACTGTATGTAAATGTACACAAACAGGACTACAGTAAGTAAGTTAGTAATTAGTTTGATAAAATACATGAATTGGAAACATTGGTCACAAAATTAGTATACTATCATGTATACCCATACAAAAATACAGAACTTACATAATTTCCTGCGATATCCTTGCGAGACCTTTACATGCACATATCTCGGCCTACGTGAAAACCATTGCATCCCCCTTCCTTTCATTTTCGTCTCTCAAGAAAATATGTCTCCTGAGAAAACAAGGCCTTAGTAAAAGTTGCTGTTTGCAATTTACTTTATATTCTTCTACAGAATTCACTCTGTCGCTGCTCATAATGTACACTTCAGCATGTACTTTAAATCCTCCATCCTCATACCGCTAATACAATGCCTGTCACTTTGCCAAAGCAGAGCTATCCAACATTGTGGGCAAAGAGGGATTTACTTCAAATGTGAAGTGTACACCGCATGAATAATGAAGGAAAAATCACACATCAACAGCATGTAGGGATTGTGTTCATGAATCTTTCCTGAAATATCTTTTGGCACTTGCGAAGCATAGGATAACTTGGAGCTTGTTTGTATCCTTGAGATGTACCAGCCTGCTAGCAACAACAAAATTTGGCCAAAAAACATATTGGACAAGTATGACAATGTGTATTCATAATTGTCAGCATACAAGCTAATGAAGTTACCTAAATTCAATAATAAACGAACTTCCCTGCGGTGATTTTGCACGTAAACAAATTGCAATTTCGTATTGAGCTTGACATGTATATTTACAGGTATAGTACCTCGAGCAAGCAATATTAACCAAATATGCAATACAGTATGTCCCAGGATTTTAAGAAACCTTGCACACACAAACACAGAGCCATGCAAAATTTACCACAATGTTCAATACTATTAGTCGAAGAAATTCAACTTTTGCACATTATATTGCAAAAAACCAGGGATGTAATTCAATCATTTGCTGTATGAAACTTAAATAGAAATTTGGACCATCATTAAATTTGAAGTTCAAGAAAGTTTCAAGATTGCAAACGTTGATGATTTAACAATGTGCAAGTGGAATTGGTGTCCCACAATTGCCCCGCGATCGATGCCCTTTACTAACCGGGGTAATAGTATATTTGTAAAGCGCTCAGAGACATTTGTATTAAGCGCTATATAAAAGCTAAATATTATTATTATTAACCAAATTCTTAACATCAACCCTGAACAAAGTATTAATTCCTTTTAGGAAGGGTGAGTTCTGGGAAGAGGTGAAAAATAATTTGTGAGCATTACTCATTCTTATTATGCAAGTGTGGAAGAACATCAGTTAAAGCATATCTGCCATAGTTTACAGGAGGGATTAGACTGCCCTGCAAGGTCACTGGACAGGTGGTTATCTCATCAACTCAGCTCTCAGTTAACATAAGAAAAAGAGGATCATGGGGGACCAATGGTCACCGATTAGGCATGGTTTGTAATAGAGGGCGCAAGTAGCTACAAGTAGTGTAGTGGGCCTTTAAGACAGTTCCCTGAAAAGCATGGCTCTTCAAATGCCTTCACATTCTAAATATGCATGTAACATCGTAAAAATCGGGGGCCGGCTTTTTACGCCACGTGTTCGTGTAGTCCCATATACATCTTTCTGTGCAAGTGTTTGTAACTTTACCAAGACTTGGCCAAATTTCTTATCATTTTGATGATCCCAGAACCTTGCTATACACACAAATTCTTATATGTATGCTAGATGATCAACCTTTTCTGGTCGGTTCCACACCGTTTCTTTCACAATGCAATCGCATGACCAGAACTCAACTTCATCTTTAAGCCTCGAGGAATTGTTACTGGAGCATACTGTATGTGTATGAGCACCATCCCAAACGTGTTCCAGATTAGTGGGAAGTTCAGAGAAACTAGTAGGAGGAGTGAAGGGCGCAACAGGACCTGACAGCATTACAATGCAGGAAGTCGTTGGGAAGCAATCAATTTTGAGGATAATGTGGTCGAGTGATCAAGCAAATCAAATCTGGTATGTAGCCTCTCCTGCCACTGTGTACTATGTACAGGATATGTCTCAATCTGCCACTTAAGCAATCTGCCACTTAGGCAATCTCAAGGTAGGCGCTTTGGGTATACCAGGATGGTTCTGACAACGAGGGTCATTTTATTACAGGTGCCCTCAAAA